AGGAAGGTGTTTACAAATCCAGCAGCGGCCCTGTCCACGGCGGCAGTGCTGAAAGCTCTCCACCCGGACCTCGGACCGCGCGCTGAGGCTGCCGGCACCTTTATAAAGCTTCACCTGCTCGCGCTCCGCCTTTCTTCGCCTCCAGCGTCCGCGCCCACGCTCCACGCACCGGCAAGGTCTGGTCACACCCTCCCCGACAGAGTCAAGAATGGAGGAGGAGGTTGAGCTAAGCCCTTGGGAGGAAGGGAAAACTGAAGCCAAAATATTAAAGAGGGCGTAAGTGGAAGTTGGGATGTCTCATTGAAGTTGAAAACCACTTTTTCTAACCGCGCCTGCCTCTGGAGTTTCGGAGGGGGCTTAGGTGGAGGCTTTTGGGGGGCGGGGTGGGGGGAGGTTTCTAGCAAAGTCCCCTGAGAGGCAACACTCAATTCCAGGACAGCGCGGGAATGGTATAAGGAACCTTAGGCCGCCGCGCGCCAGTCGGATTAATCGCGCCCTCGCCTCTTTGGGGCGCGTCCTGCTTGTGCCCACTCACGAGCTCTTGCACGTCTGTGAGTCTGTGTTCTGTTGTTTGGGAGGTCCCGGGAGCGCCGAGTGCCCGCGTGTGCTCGCCGGCCTAAGCGCACCCAAGCTCCCTGGAGCTGCGGAGGGCCCTGGCCCCGACCGCGAGGGGAGAGTCTGGGAAAGAACCCCGAGAAGGTAAGGGGGCAGTGAGTCTGGAGTAGGTGGAGGAGGGGCGAAGGGAGATGAGCTCTGGCCCCGGGTGCTTCTGCTCTGGCCAGATCCTTAGCTCTCCAGCCTCGGCTCTCTCTGGGCCTCAGATTCCTTACTTGTTAAACGAATGATTGGAACTCGATGAGCGCTCCGTTGCCACCCACCTGAAATAATTCTTAAAACAAAAAACCCCAAAAAACTCTCTTTATTGCTATTGTCGTAGAAATACCACGACAAAATCGTATTGACCTAATTCCAGAGGACCCCGGTGAGGGGTGGGATGGGGTGGAGGACCCTATGGGTTCCCCAGGGCAGCGACGATACCTTCTTCACCTGAGTATTCGCCTCGTTTCGGGCGATCAGGCACTAGGAAGTGCCCAATAAAAGAAATCGATTGAAGCGACTTACGTCGCTTTTTAGCCCCATCTGAGCCTGACCCTGTGCAGAGAGGGAAGATGGGCTTCCGGAATTTATTCCCTGCTCCACCGTTCTGCAGTTGGCACGCTTCCATTCCTAGCCCTAGCGGGTCCCAGAAGGCGGATCAGTGTTAGAGAAGGATGCTCGGAACTCACATCCTCCAGTAAACCTGGCGCCTGGCGCGCCCTAGAACTTGGCACCTCGGAGCGCGCGCAGGCGCACGGACAGACGCTGCGCGCGGCCGGGGGAGCGCCCAGGCAAGCGCCTCTTGCAGGTTCATTCCCTTCGTTGGCGAAAGGGGAAAAAAGCAGGGACGTCCTAGGGCCATAACCTGTGCGAAACAGCCTGTCAAGGGCACAGTCAGGCTTGCTTAGAAAAGGCAATTCGATCGCGAAGTGATTTTCAGAGCAGCCCGCCAGTGCCGCCAACTTGGGGACAGCTTCAGTGGGGGAAAGACCGACTTTGGGCAGTTCTGCGCGGTTTCTTCTTCTTCTTTAAACTGAGGTTCTCCTCCTCAGCAGAGGCGAGAAGTCTGCACAGAAGAAATTGTTTCGTTCATCCCCCAGCCTTCTCTCTGCCGTTCCCTATTACTGAAAGGTCCTGCCGGTCAGGATTTCTGATGAAAATCGCTCTCTAATGGTCGCCATGAAGGTCTAGGTGGGAACGACAAGATGCGTCTTCTCCCGTTTCATCCACGGACTTGCATATTAACCCACTCACTGCCAAAGGTCCCGGCAACTCGTGTCGTTCAGTTGCTTTTCGTTGCTTGTTTTGTCTTTTCAAACATTACAACTATTGATACTTTATTTTTATTTTCACAAATTGATGTTTTGTCAGATGTGTTACTTGAAGATAATTTAAACTATAAACTAGTTAAAGAAGTAGCTTCAAGAATAGTCATTTAAAATTACCTCTGAGAATGCATAGAAATTAATTTCTATTAATTAGTGTCTTTAAATATTGTCTCTTAAATGTTTGTTTTACTACAAACATTGTTAGAATAGTTTGTCACTGTGCTTTTTAGAATGTTCCTAGAGAGCCTTTACCCTTCAAAAATAAAACTTTTTAATGCTGAAGGCGAATTGATTAATCATACAATTTTTCTAAGTGGATTCTGGTGTCCAAAGCCTCCACCATATTTAGAGAATAATTACATAATATAATACATTCTAAGTTGCCCCAAGATAATGTCTGGGTAAAACATGTTAATAAAAGAAGACAACCAAAGTGAAAATATAATTTAAAAAAAGCAAAAAAATGATATTGTTGTCTATTATCTTTAACTTTACTTGACTATTTGAATACATTACAACTCTAGAATTTAGAAAGATTTCTTTTCCCTAGACATCTGAAAATAATTCAGTTGAAAGTTTTCTAATATTTAGAAAATTTTAGTATATTCTCTAAAATAGAATGCACTTTAAACTGTATTTTGATTAGTGTTTTTTTATTATCCTTCTTTCCAGCAATAATATGTGTGTGGATTTAGGACACTTCATAATATTTACAACCATCTCCTTGATTATTATTTTAATATTGTAAAATCCCATTAAGTACAAAGAAGAGGAACAAGCCTTTGAATTTGCTAGGTTTAGATAAAAATAGGTAGATTAATCTAAGTATTTGTTGTTGTTTTGGTGTCAGTCAAGTGGATTCCAACTCATAGTGACCCCGTGTGACAGAGCAGAACTGCTCCCATAGGGTTTTCTTGGCTGTAATCTTTGTGGAAGCTCCTGCAGAGCCGCTGGGTGGGCTTGAACCTCCAACGTTTCTGTTAGCAGCCGAGTGCTTAACAGTTGCGACACCAGGGCTCCTTTAATGTAAGTATATTTACATCATATTTTCCAGAAGAGGGATACGACCAAGTCAGAAATACAGTTTTGAATGGACTGGAGGTGCGTTGCAATTCTGGGCTTACCGACAGGGATTCTGGTTATGTTATATTCTGCTTTGATGTAAACAAACACCTTCTGGAGACATCATGGCATGAAATACCCATTGCATCTAGCTGTAATGCAGGTCGATTTTTACGTTAGGAATGTTTGGATTTGAGGTGTCATTTTGTTTGTTTTTCGAGAAAACTCCAATCCAACATATTTTTGCCACTGTGAGAACATAGCAGGCCACCTGCCGGCTTCAGACCTGGCCATTAGCACACATTCTTGATTAAACAAGCGGGCATTAAAAGGTAAAACTGGATGAAAATGCTTGCT